ACTAATTTTCAAAACGTAAATTATCATCAATAACTATCACCTTGTTTCTTACTTGATGTGATATACATTCAATGTATTACACTATACTTATCCACTAACAATGGAGAGATGGTATAATGGTTAGAACACTAATTAATAGCTATCAGATGAAGGATGTCAGTTAAGATCAATAGTCCTGATATTCATAATGACTTTTGAAATAGTTATGCTGCGTTTAATTTTTAACACTAACCAGTCATTACAACTTGATGAATATCTTCAAGATGAAGATATAGACTGTATCAGAAAATATTTAAACTGTTGACCAATTATAACAGCATGAAATGTTAGAAGTCACAAAACAATTTATAGATGAATAATATACCATATGAAAGAATCATGTTTTCTTTTTGCAACTAAGTGTAATAGATTGGAATCTCTAATATATGATAAGTAAATTAAATATTATGACCAAAGTAAAAACATGTTTATAGATTCAATGTAGGATTGACAAAATTATAATATAACAGGTAAACTACACCTAGCAGCAAAATGTAGACACGCTTATGATTAATTCTAACACTTCAAATAGTTAGTTTAGAACTAAACGTCCTACACAAGTAAACAAGTTGAAGAACAAACTTTGGACTACGGAAATATCAATAACGTACAGTTGAATGAAACCAGGACGGATGACCAGCTGGACGATATTTTTCCAGACATACAAGCTGTTGTAAAGCAGCTGAAGAATTACACAATGATCCCAGTTCCTTTTCATACGGTAGCCAGTGGTGCCGCTTTCTCATCTTCCTATGTTCTGGTGTACGATGATCCACATTTACAGAGTTGCGTGGGTCCAGATGGTCAAACTCAGGGCGTAAACCATTCATCAAACATAAATCTGAACCAATCGATGGGGATGTGTTTGTAGGTGAGTCGATCAACTTAAAATCAATATTGTGAGTCTCATAATCGCCTTCTAAAGCATTTTCATGGTCAACAGGTAGAAGAACAGCTGTGAGCAACTCCCATAAGATCAATCCCAAAGAATATATATCGGTACGTAGTAAAGCCCACCCAGTGAAAGATATAGCACCATCAATAATTTCTGGGGCCTGATATCGTAAAGTGCCAGCCTATCGGCAAAAATTATAATAAAGAATTATTTCTTTGCTGTGAGATAAAACAAAAGATGATACACAAATTAATTCAGTATTTATTAGAGAAGAACCTATTTTTGAGTGGCTGTCTTTTCTCCCTTTACCTGTTCATTTGTGAGTTTAAGTAGATAATGGATCTCGTAAGTACCTATCACACATGTCCACCCTGTATTATCATTGAACATCAATTTTAAATAAAACATTTTTGGAAGGATAAAGGTTTATGACAAGATATCGGCTGAATTAGCAACATAAAGTGGTATCCTATCACGACTATCTACTTTTTATCTTTTTAACCAAATTAGTCAAAAATTGACCCCCAAATGCCCTGGTACGGACGAGGGTAGGGAGATTCCGCTCTCCCTCTACAAATGCTCTTACATGGGTACGTGCATACAACAACTGACAGCGAAGTCCTACTCACTACATTCTGATAGCGGGGGTATTCACGAAATTGAGGGGATGAAATGAGAATGTCCGGTGCTTTAACCAGATTGGTGGATACAGAAAATCCACCTAGGGGAGTTGGAAAACCCTGATTCCAAACCAATGGTGCATATGGGCTCCAGAATCATGAGGGAACAAATGGAGTATGAACCTATTTTTGGTCATCGGTTACCATGGAACTGAATCTCCTGACGTCGCTCTACTGCCTTGTGGATTAGACCTTTAGATCAAAGGTTCGGGGTGTAGCCCCCTAAGAAAACTACCTTCCAACCCTCATAATTATCGAATGATATGTGTGGCACATATGCATTTGGTGTCTCCTTGTACCAATCTTTGTGTTTAAATAATAATAAATAGTCATAAATGTACTTCTAGAGTAAAAACACTTCATGAAACTTTTGAGTCTATTGCTCAGAAATTCTCTTGTAGCAATGAAGTTGGCAGAAGACATAATTCTGTGGGGTTGAAATGTTAAAAAGATGGTGTTATTAATCTCGAATATAAAATATATACATTTGTACACGGAAAACTAAGTTATTGATAAGACCACGGTACTTGCTGAAGTAGTTTAGATGTGAACAGAAGATTTCGCAATTTAGAAAATTAATCCGTCAGATATTTATTTGTACAGGGGATTTAAGGTAATTTTCATAGTTTAAATCACTAATTGACCTTAGCCGGTATCCAGCGGTGCTGATGTCTAACTTTGATCGATTCACGGTATTGGGCAACTCTTAGCCACTGTGTGCAGTGGATAACTCTCACATTCGACACGGATTGGAATCCATTAACCATGGCTTTCCATTAAAACTACAAAATTTGTATCTTGAAGCTAGTCGCTAGTAAGCACATGATTATTATTGGTACAGGGGGGCAGTGGAGTACAATCCGTGTCAGATGTAAGACAGTTATCCACTGCACGCAATGGGTAAGGGTTGGACAATACCATTAATCGATCAAAGTTAGACATCAGCACTGTTGGATGCCGACTCAGGGGTCTAGAGATTAAGAGTGAGATCGGAAGTTCCGGGTTTGATTCCCGGATGCGGACTGACGAGTCCCAAACCATAATAAAATGGCTGTCCAATGCTTCCGGGTTTTCAGTAGTGGTCTAGCTAATATCTTTTTGTGGTTGAAACTGGGAATATTTATTAATTAAACCAATACGCGAACAATCATATACCTTTACACCGTGATAAACGTTCGGAGACCATATTCTACAGAGGCAGAAGACAAACGCGAATTACTAAAATTAATAGATCCACTTGAAGTAAACTCTGATTGTTTTGTCTAAATAGGCTATTTGGGTTTCGCATTCAAATTAGTCAGGTCAAATAACTCAACCTTGAAATTAGCAACCTGAATCACAAGTCTTCATCATTTCGGAGTATCAGCTAGTAATTTTAAAACAAGGCAATGAGTAAAAGATGTACAAGAAAAAACAAAATAAATAATACCTTCGGCATAGACTCCAATGCTGAGCTAACTGAATACGTCGTAGTTAACACATCTTGAAATGATGTTCCACACGAATTATTTGATGTCGGACTATTGGGTGAATTTTCTGCCAAGCATACAGATTGTCCAAAATCCGACAAACAAACAGTTCCATCAAAACGTATTAATATATTTTCTGGTTTTAAATCACGATGAGCCACTGGGTATTTACCATATACAATTCGATGACCATTGGATTGCTGTCTATTCACTAAATCACTGTGTAGAAAGCCTAGACCTTGTACAATATCATCGGATATTTTTAGTATTTCAGTAAATGATAACCAACCACCTTGTGACAAAAGTTGACGCAATGAACCACCTGAAGCAAATTCCATAACTAAACGATATTCTGTGATTGTGGATCGGCAAAGTTGAACCTTATAATTTATCCGAATTAATTACACGAGGAAATATTATGGTTACACAATTAATTTATACACAATGGCATTAATAATTATAACAAATATATATATATATATATATATATATATATATATATATATATATATATATATATATATATATATATATATATATATATGTAATTCACACCGAAAAACCCATGAATATTCAGGCTTTCCCAGTAACATGACTTAACTATCAGTAGATGTTACAACAAGACACGGAAATCAAATCACGTCGCGAAGGACTAATAGACATGATAAAGTAAAATAAGCGATTATCAGTTGACCAATTGATAGCAGGACGATTAATCGACTAAAGTATGCTTCAGACAAGATCACATTGAAGCGCGCTGATCGCTTCATTTTCAATCAATCATCGATAGTAGATGAGGTGAAAACGCCAAGAATTTCCTGTTTTAAAATCATATGTACACTGAACATTTTCTTACTATATTAGCTTAACTTTATGTTTACTTTGGAATATATTTACGTTCCTGTTCAGGTTGTATTTTCAACCATGAACCAGCCGAGTGAAGTGTCCAATAAAAAGTAGTCCGAAAAGAAAACTTTACACTACACATGACTTAAGATTATGTGAATGTCAAGAACTTGGTAAAAACAGTACGTATGTTTAGGAATAAGAAATAAAAACAAAAAACTAGAAGTAATATATACAGAAGTGTGCAAAAATAACACTAAACGTGAAACTGATCATAAAACCCCAAATGTAATTCATCTATTCAATTACTGACTTCACTTTTCCTGAGATCCTATAAATCTTGTTTAATAATATACGTACAGTAATGCTCATTCATTTTATTGGTTTTTCTTGAAATAAAAAAGCTCTCTTACAAAACTCAGTTTACTTCTTTCCTCCCTACTTATGGAAAGTTGAAATCATTGTGTATAAGTTGCTTAATTTATTCTATTTAAGTTGGATTTATTTACGTATTATTGGTATATAATTTGCGTACAATCAAGTTATTAACATTGAAAGACCGAGGTGAACTTGATAAAGGATTCAAACATAATTAAATTAGTCATTCATACACAATGGTAGAACCTGGTAAATATGTTCATTGGTTCAAGTTCCCAGCACACTATACCAGTAAAAAGAGATCCCAGAGTGGTAGACGTAATAACAGTATTAATAGTAGTATAAAATATTAGAAGAAAATATGACTTCCTAGAATTAAAAAAGTATGGGATAATTCTGAATGTCAAGAATCTATCATCTCTACGCCGTTTTAACCGATTACTAGTCAGGAATAATTTCAGTAGAAAATATAAAGGCAATCATTACATCAACATTATATAAAATGCATAAATGAAGTATACCTTCAATATCTTAGTGCAAAGAAGGATAGAACAAAGAAAGTATTTTGTCTTCAAAAAAGAAGACGGAATCACATGGAGAAATAATTATTGAGTATAAAACAATAAAAGAAAATAAAAAGTAATGAAAAAATGTAAACATTCGGGGGAAACAAAGAAATTTTGATTTTTTTTTAATGAAAAAAACAACAGAAAACAATTGTCAAGTGACAAAAATAAAAACTACACTGGATTGAATAGATAAATAACTTTCTTTCAAAGTTAAATGACTAAAAAAACAAACCAATAAAGATGGGAGGGGGAAATTTTGTTGTTTGCACTTTTAAAATATACGATATGACAAAGAAGGAATTAGACAATAGTGACAAGTATATATTAAGAAAATCATAAAGCGAAAAAGAATGTTAGATCACGAATCTGTTTTATCTATTATTTTATACAGTAACAAATTTAACTATTCATAACATTTCTAATGGGAATGAGAACTAATGACTTAGTAACATGCAGAACTTCAACATCACACAGTTTGATAATAGCATGATTAATAATATATACACGGAAGTATTTTGGAGGTGTACTTTACCAGAAAATTAAATTCTGCTACTAAACATGGCCGTTTACAATAGACTGGACTGTTAAAAAATGTTACATAGTTTTTTTATTTTATTATTTAATAAAATACAAAATATTAGTAGGCGAAGCATGCACAAGTTCTGCTCGAGGTTGGTCACATACAGTAGTCCTGTGAGGGGCTTTTGATATATTAGCAACATGCTATTCAAACTTTAGCGCCGGTGCCGGAGATCTGGTGAGACGTACTCTTTTGAGGTTGACCTTTTAAAACTCTCTCTTTCCGTTACGACAAGATAGAATCGCTGAAGTTACTGGTTTCCCTTATGGGAACACCTTACAGCTGTTACACCTACATACAATCGGGAGTATGACCTTGATTTCGGGCATAGGATTCAAAGAGATGGGTGTTCTAGCTAATAGCTCGACTGGCGACTCATTATGGTATAGAAGCTCGACCACTACATTGATGAAGCTTCTACAGTCGATAATATTATAACTGCCTTAAACCAAACAACAAAAATGTCATAATTTTTATCAAACAGATAAGAATAAAGTTATTTCCTCCATGGGATGTAGCGAAGAGTAGTAATTTACTGATCACTTGAAATATACAGATAATTCTAATATAAACAGGTAATTTGAGGTCATCGACTGAATCAGATCGAAAGTTTGATAGGTTATAGCTAACATTTACTGACAGACATCTGAACCAATAACATATTGATGTTCATTCAAAAAGACTAAATGGACGACATATTGGAGAAAATAAATACAGGCTAGGGACATTAGCACGAGAGTTACATGCAGCTTGCAAGCTGTTTGACACTAATAAATAAGAACCATATTACATATTGGCAAACTCGCTTGTTTAAATAACCAAAACTCAGAGATATTACTTAGATCACTAACTAACAAGTTATATGACTTAGCACTTTGAAAAAGGTACCCTATTTTGCACCACTGTTTGTAAGGCTTAAACAATCAGTTTTATTTGAGTAATAAAGAAACCATAGTTTACAGAAATACTGATGAATGAATACTTGCTATGAAATAGCCGGATAAAAAACACTTATTCGTCAAAGAAAGTTGCAAAGCTTTATGAAATACAATTCGAAAGAGAGAACTACTAACTAACTAAACTTAGTCAGCTACAACGTACGACCAGGCACACATATGCATCGGTCCAAGTTGCCATACCTTGTTAGCACAATTAACTAAACTGTTGCTTAGTGAAATAAAACTCTCAATAACATGCAAACAATTCAACCACGATAACTAAAAATTACTTGTTTATAATCCATCATAAAAATTTAATTACAAGATGAAGAAGGCGATAATCATAAAACAAGCTTTCGAGTTTTTTTGTCCGTACAATGTTTTCATGGCAATAAGATTATGCAATACAAATGTTCAAGTGTTAAAATTATAAATCTTATTGATAAACATAGGCTTTACTATTATTCCACCTTAGATCTAGGATATCCAATAGAATGCTTACGAACTCACATTGGAAATTTATCAGTATCTAAATTCATAAACACATCCATATTTTTGTTCATTCAGTTTTTCTACAGGGTATTCTAAAATAAAGTCAAAGTACTCAATATACTTATTTGAGAAAGTGGACAATAAAAGCATTCAGTGATTTTAGTGAATTTAACAACTTACCGATCCTGCTCCTAATAGTAAAACAATATTAGGATGCCCAATATGTCTTAACATTTCGTGTACATATTGGATACTGAAGGAATTTATGTTGCTTATTGTACCGACAGTATCAGTGGTAGTAGTACTATTATTACTAGTATTGTTATTACTAATGCTACTATTATTGGTAGTAGTAATTGTTATTGTAGCAGTAGTATTAATAGTAGTTGGAGCAGTAGTAGCAGTACTAGAAACAACTGCAGGTAATCGTTTGTTTATTGAATGGATAGCCTTGAAAATCCCCAATTCTGTTTTCCATGCATCATATTCATTAGCAGTGAATGTTTTTACGGCCACAGGCATAGGAGATTCATCATTCGTAGTAAAATTGTTTATTAGTGAATTATGGTTTACATCAGTAGATGAAACTGTTCTGGTTGACAATAATAAAGGAGAGGTATTTGTTTCGGCATGATGTACATTTTCCTTGTCATCAGGATAATCTTTCGTTTCTTTTTTCAACGGAATTGAAGTTTCACTCTTCTCACTAGGTTTGAGTAGATGTAATGAAAAAAAAAGGTTAGGGCAACACGTATTTACGAATGAAATAAAAGAGATCAGCACATGAAAGATACCATAACTTTGTATTAAAAGACGAATTTCGTCCAAGCTAGAATAAATTTAGGAGTGGGGTGGTTACCATCTTCCGAAATAAAGCTAACAAAACTGGTGATTTTACCATTTTAGTCTGTTAGTGAATAAAGATTTTAAAGCCGCATGGTTTATAATTTCACACTATTAATGAATGAACAACTGTCCATTAAATCTACACATAATGTATGATATTTCCTTTTAGGATATTTTATGGTGTTTATGCACGGAAGATAAAAATATGTATATTGATGCGTAACAGCTATTTGTCTAGCCAACCGTTGAGGTATTTAACGAAACATATTAAATCTTTGTTTACATACGTTGAGGATGAGGGAGATAAGTGGGACTTATTTTCATTTATCACTCATGCTATACTTAGCACTGGAATGATTAACTTTAAGTATTGAGTCGTATTCATATTTGCCGTAGAACTACTGAATAATTCTTTTACAATGATCGCATCTATCAGTCACAGGAAAAATCAACAGACAGATTGTAACTGATTGGTTTTAGTCTACATGGAATACATTGGGAATAAAACCTCCTGCTCAACACAGGCCAACACAAAAACAAAGTTTTCACTCCAAAATACTAGGATTATATTCACCTAAGCAGCTCAAAGTTTATGTGGTTGACTCTGTTAAGGAGTCAATTAGTTTGTAAACAAGATTCAGCAAAAGATAACAAATGAAAAACAAAAGTCATGGGGCCGCAAAAAAAGGGATAATGAGTCCTTTCAGTCTCTTCCATGATGAAAGTAAGATTTTGAAGAAACCGATGATCAAATATCAGGAGAAAAATGTTTTTACAAGATTCATGTCGATACTTTGGTCTCATAAGAAGCTCTATTCGCTAGACACATGAAATCCATATGTAGGTTATCGATTGACTAGCATTGTATTGATTCATTTTAAGAATTCAAATGAACATCTTTCAGCAAAACCTTAGAGTACCCCTCTATAACAAAGAGAAACAGACTTACTTGACTCAACACAAAACTAGGTTCAGAAAAAAGTACATATGAGTCAGTTAATTGACTGGTATACCTTCTTTCTTTACCTAGAATCATGCACCTAATTCAAGTTCAGCACTATATGGTAAATACATAAGTTTGGGAATTTTCATATAATATATGTAGATATACAGCAATTCAGTTGACATAAAATATTCCCGATAGGAAAAAAGTATATAAATCCAACTGTAAGCAAGAATGAACAAAGACAGAATAGCGTTAAACGCATGTGTCGATAACTTTCATACCGAATTCCAGATTCCCATTCATTTATGAATTCTCTGAACGAATAAAAATGCTGTAATGCAATTGGAGTCCAGACAAGTTTGCTGGACGAAACATTGGGATTACTTAAATCTCAAACTTATTTTAAATATAATTTTCACAAATAATGTCTTCTCTATAATCGGCGACCAATTTCTGTCAAACTATTCGTTCTAATATTGACGAATACTCGTATAAATTACTTTAAGGTTAATTTGGGTACAGAAATCAAATCCTGTTTATAAGGGTACAACAGACTTTGAAGTTTCCGGAATCTTATAAAAAAGATGATGAAATTAGTAATGACTTGTAAGGTTGATAATTGTGTTAAGAACATAAGTATGACAACTTTGGAATCTATTGACATTTACAAAAGGGACTCTTTCGCTAAATGAATTTCAAAATGACTCGATTCCTATAAAAAGTTCAGAAACTATCACTAATACTTTCTAACACTCCGAATCGCGCTCCAACATATCCCTGTTTCTTCAAAACAAAGCTTCTCAATGATGGACTCTGAAAAAACTAATGACCAGCCATGAATTTATTTGGATAGTTTGCAACCATAAAGATGGAAAAATCCAATTTTTTATCCAAGATAACAACAAAGCGTATGAGTGAATAAATAAAAAAAACTGAAGCAATATTTGAGAGTTAGACAATTTCCTCTGGTATATTCTACAATTTTATTGTGATTAATACACGTTTCCAGTAAAAAAAATCACTGTTTAGAGCTCAAAATATAAGTTGCACATAACGGAGTTATCATGATGGATTATACTAATCAAGGACTTAAATTAGTTGGAGATGGAATGTATATAATGATTATCTGCTAATTCCAACCAAATTATTAGTGTTATTAGATATGAACAGTATTGAAAGTAATAACAATGACCAATGACCAAATTTAACAAGATTATTTCATCATAATCTGATCACAAATATAGTAGTATTGATAGTGTTAAAAACAAGATACAAAACCATTATCAAACACTTTGTATTATTTCTATTAAACATAATTATTATTAGTCCACCTACACATTATGCACATGGAGAAAAGGGAAGAATTTTATACCATTTTATATTGATCAGATGGGCTTGGAAGAATTTCATTTCATTTTTGGAAAAGCCTACTTTATGTGGGCAATTAAAATAGGCATTCAGTATACAAGCGACACGCTTACTAGAAAGCAGTCAGTTAATCAATTAACCGAAAGTATAATAAACAAATAAAACCAATGAAAAGTGAGTATACGATTCACACACGCAAACACATACATACATTCATACAAACTATGGTAATTCAGTGAATAATAAACCAGATGATTCCTTTACATTTAATTATTCCATAATAATTATGGCCAGTAATAAAATGCTTAACTGGATAAAGTACAACAGAAACTAACGGAAAACAATCCGTCTATCAAACACGAAACTGATGATTTTGAAAAGCAAAGTAATAATAATAATAATAATTATTATTATTATTATGAGTTGTACAATTAATTAACATTGAGACTCTAAAAACCTAAATATTTAAAAAGGATAAAGAAAAACAGTAGAATTTGAGCCAGCTACCAGCCCGATTTTAATTTTGATTATTTTAACATTATAACGTGATGGTGTTTGAAACGAAAGATACTGGGTTCGAGTGTCAGAGTGAATATCGACTCCAACTGACGAGTCTCAAATAGGACAAAACGCGCGTCATGGATTCCACTGCTACCCACTATCCATCTTTGCTTGCAATGCTTGTGAGTTAAGGCTATGTCGAAGCAATACGCACAGTATGCACATATGCCAATTAGAGACTGACCAGTTGCAGTTCTAAACATCAATGGGAAGATTCAAACAAACAATACTAATTGAATTTAAAACAAAATAATGATTATACTTTGTTCTCTTCTTTGGCTGAACGAAAACTGATAAATTTATGAGACAGATAGATATCACCAGCAGAGATTGTCACACGTGTGAGTTGGCCTTGGTGCGTTCGTGAGCTGTGTTAAGAAATCACTAATCCACTTTCAAAAGTGCGAACGAAACCACTTCTGTCCTCTTCTTTTTTTTCTGCCCCACTAACACATCAGTTTGGTAGATGAGGCTTTTTGATGTTGACCCAGTAATAATCAATCAAATTACAATAAATTTATCGATTATATATCCATAAAAAGCGATGTCATCCATGATTTCATTCACTTCATATTTACAGTATTTACATTTGCAATCAATAAAAAAAATAGTGAGACAGTGGTGATCTAAATAGATTAAACAACAAATTGGTAGCTTCAAGACATTGATAATTGAAATATGAAATAGGTATCATTAATTTAGTTCACAGTATGTATCTAATACACCGAAATATTAAAAATAAACCATAAAATACTAGCAACTAACCTGTACAAATAATCCAGCGATGTTTCCGGGTGAGTATCGACAAATGTAAATGATGTATTTGAATTGAGACATTTCAACATAGTATTAGGTATTTTGGTTAATCTACTATCCTGTTGACAGCATAATAGATGCCAAGATAAATTTGTATTTGAATTATGACAAAGAATAGATCCATTTGTTGATGATTGATGAAATTTTCTACTACTATCATTTTCATTATTATGATTTTTATAATTTAATAAATCTTGAGTTATTTTTAATTGATGTATAAATAATGAAAAAGGAACATTAGCAAGCCATACTTCTGCAAAACGACCACGACCAATTAATTTTTCTTTATGACACAACTTAGCCACAAGCTGATGGAATAAGAAGATTGAAGTAAGATTGACAAAATGATGTCGAAAACAGTTGGGTTTATAAGCCAAACGTATTTAAATGAAATATTACTGAGCTTTTTATTTATTATTTATTTAAACACATATATATTGGTAAAAAAGGGCACCAGATACATATGGGCCACACAAAATAATGAAAGTAGGAAGAGAAGGGATGAAAAGATAAGGCGGACTGAAATGTAAAACCAGAAGACTCTTTCAGTTAAGAAAGTTAGAACCACTCTTTATGTAGAAAGTAAAAGAAGGTTGCAGCAGGATCGCCACTGGCTTCTATTTTGAGCCATATCTGATAACGTCTCTAGCCACTGTGTTGCACCACCTCTCGGACCCCAGCCAGGGAGTCCTGAAGGACCAACAGAAGCTAGCCCTTTGCAGCTTTCTTTCATACCACGACACCATGTCATACACTGACCACCTCTCTGCTTTTTCCAACCAGTCCCAGAATCGGCAAATAATGCACGACGTGGAAGTCTATGGGACGACATACGTAGAACATGTCCAAGTCACCGAAGTCGGTGTTTTAAGATGGTGACACCAATTGAATTATCGTCACTGTGCCCGAAAACACGATGTCGAACCTCTGCATTACTAAAATGGCAATACCACTAGATGACAGCAATCCTTCGGAGACAACCATGATCGAACACAGAGTCGTCTAAAATCCTCAACTCAGAGAGGTCAGGTTTCACAAACATAGAGCAAAACTGCTCTCACCGACGCGTTGTAAATCCGACCTTTTACAGTCAGACTAACATCACGAAGGCGCCAAAGTTGGCCCAGATTGGCATAAGCCGCTCTGGCTTTCATTATACGTGCATCAATCTCATCACTCAAGCCACCACCAGCACTTATGTGGCTACCTAGATACACGAACTTCTCAACTACTTCAATCTGCTCACCATCCAGGGTGAGTACAGGATGAGAATCCTGCCAGTCTTGTAAGAGTACTTTGCACGTGGAGGGTGCAAAGCACATGCCGTACCTGCGGACACTGATTGCAAACTGATTAAGTGCGGATTGCATGCCTTGGGCATCATCGCACAGTAAGACAATATCATCCGCATACTCGAGATCGAGAAATCGTTCTCCAGGCAACATATCCACACCGCCATTACTTACATCCATCAGAGCTGTTTCCAGGATGTCGTCGATGGCAAAGTTGAAGAGGAGTGGTGAGATCGGGCAACCCTTCCTAACCCCACTGCTCAAATGGAACAAGGGAAAAAGGTGGTTGTATGCCCTCACTCTGCCAGGTGTTCGTATACAGGGCCTTTAAGATGTTAATGAACTTCTCAGACACACCCTTCTTCAATAGACAATCCCAGAGAACAGTCCTGTCCAACGAATCGAAGGCAGCCCTGATATCAAGAAACACTACGATTGTTGGCCTGTGATAAGTATGACGGTGTTCTAACATTTGGCGGAGGGTGAAGATGTGATCAATGCATCCTCGACCAGAACGAAAACCAGCCTGCTCCTCGCGAGTCAATCGTTCTAGGGTTTTAAACAACCTACGAAGAATGACAGAAGCCAATAGTTTGCACGCAATCGGAAGTAGACTTATTCCCCGATAGTTGTTACAGGAACAACGTGAACCCGTTTTAAATATAGGGACGACTATTGACTCATTCCATGATGTTGGAACACTTTCTTGCTCCCAAATCTTTGCAAACAGCACCGTCAGTTCCTAAGCCAGAAAGTCACCACCATCTTTAAAAAGAGCCGGAGGTAAGTCATCTGGGCCCGGTGATTTGTAGCACTTCAAGAGTTGGAGTTCCTTGCGGGCCAGTTGAACTGCCCTTCGAAGAATTCCGCCCATCGTCCAAGACGTCGAGAGATATTAGTGATTGGCATCCCATCATTCTCGTAGATTGTTTCACCCACACCAGACTTCTTGCTGCCAGTGGCTCGGATGAGTTGGAAGAGCTCCCGGCAGCTACCAGATGCAGCTGCTGCTTCCATCTCATTAGCACGCTCCGACCACCAGGCTTCTCGGTCCTTACGCAAACTTTGCCCGATTTCATTACGTAACAGCCTTCGTTTGTGGTCAAACTCACGGTCACCCGAAGTAGACCGACGGGCTTCCATCAGTTGTAAAGAGCCAGAAGAAACCCAGTGCTTGTAAGCGGGACGTTTCGCGAAGCCGCAAGCGGCTTTACTCGCCATTTTCATGGCGTCGTGAAGATGCAACCAATGCTCATCCATACTTTTCCATGGGATGGTAGCTAGCCTAGAAGCTAGCTCCACGTGATGCTTACTTGCAACAGATGTTGCAGCCAGTTTACTAACATCGATCCGTTGGTGGTGGTCAATCCTTCGGCCACTGAAAAGTAAGGTGAGATTGGCGCAGACCAGGGCATGATCAGACTCCAGATAGGTACTCCAAAAGGAGCGGCAGTCTTGTACACAACCACGCCAGCGGTAGCTGATCGCGATGTGATCAATCTGAGTACAGGCTTGAGATGCAGAGGGAGGACGCCAGGTGGCACACCGGCGATGACTGTGCCGGAAGTTAGTGCAAGCCAGAAACAGGTTGTGGTCTGTGCACAGTTGCAGCAAACGGTCACCGTTATCTGTCCTGCGACCAACAAGTCCCCATCGGCCACCTAAACGACTCTCTTCTGTGCCTAGACGCCCGACCTGAGCATTCAAGTCTCCGGCTAATACTACAATATCTGTCGAACGCGCTTTCTGGAGAAGAACTGTTAACTGGTGGTAAAACTCATCCTTGATTGCATCCGGGCTGCAATCTGTCGGGGCATAGGCGGAGATGATGAAAAGGCACCGATTCTCACGCCGGTTTCTTCTCACTTTGATGGAACTTTCTAATCTAACAGCACATAACCGACTGTTAATGGGGATCCAATCGATTAGTGCTGCCTCAGCCCTAGCGCTTAGTGCAACACCAACGCCTGCAAGACCAGACGAAGATGCCACAGGGTCCCCGGATAAGCGCACGTGAAACAAGCTTTTCAAAGCGACAGATGGAGAACGAATTTGTAGTACTTCACTAGAGTCTTGAATACGGGTCTCGGATAGACAACAAACGTCAACATTAAGACCTTCCAAAGACATAGCCAGCCCCATCTGTTGTCCGATCTGCATTAGTGTGCGAACGTTGAAGGAAGCCAGCATGAACGGAGTACGTGGTTTCAGAAAGACTGCTTCAGTATTCGTAATCGGTGGAAGCATTCACTTTCAACCAGACAGTGACTGGAGATCGTTTAGATAGGACAGAGTTTCCACCATGGGCGAGCTACTGCATAAGTTGGAAAGGAAGGATACATAATTTGGGAATAAAGGGAGTGAAAAAGCGACGTAGTAAATAATAGTAATAATAATAATAATAATAATAATAATAATAATAATAATAATAATAATAATGGTAGTAATAATAATAATAGGGTAAATTGTCTTGCTTCTAATATGAGCGAGAATAGTATTGTCAATAGAATTCATCATTTCATTTATTTGTGTGTGGGCTGTGATACTGCCCGGGTGCCCAAACCGAAGCAGGTGGTTTTCTTAGGGGGCCACACCCCGAGCCTTTGACCTAAAGGTCTGATCCACAAGGCAGTGGATCATCGTGAGGAAATGCAGTCCCATGGTAGCCGGTGACTAACAGCAGGTTCATTCGCCATTCGTTCCATCAGGATACTGGAACCCAAGTGAACCATCGGTTTGGAATCAGGGTTTTCCAACTCCCCTAGTGGACTATCAGTGTCCACCAACCCGGTTAAAGCGCCGTGCATTCGCTTTTCGTCCTCTCACTTTCGTAAACAACACCCCCGCCACGAGAAGGCAGTGAGTAGGACTTCCTGGCAGAGGCTATATATTCGCTGGCCATGTGAGAGCATTTCGAGAGGGAGAGCCGACTTTCCCCACTCTCGGCCGTACCAGGGCATTTGGGGGCTACTGAGCTTTTAATCCAATCGGAAATTATACGATCTTAGGGGATTGGCTCAACTTTCAGCTATAAAGTCACAGGCTCAAGCCCCGATCCACCTGCTTCACTTAGAGCATCTAGGTAGTATTATTATTCCTAACACTTGGAGTGTGGTCCAGCACCAAGAGAACACGAATGATAAATAAGTTGTATAAAAAAATATTATGAGATTAAATAGCTGTAAGGCCCAAAATCCTGAGATAAGTAGAAAAATTCAAATGTTAACATAGTGTTGATGTAATCACAAAATGATGTACTTCATGTTCTTGTATAATACAAGTAGTTGTCGACTATACAATGTTCTTCTACGGATCCGTGTATTACATAAAGTCTTGAATTTGTGAACACACTCTCGTCAATAAATGGATTACGATTTATTCGGTAAATGTTGCTTATCATAGCTTTATGGCAAAAATGTTAATTAAGAAACATCTATATCTTTATATGGAAGAAAATTCAAAGCTTTAAGGTGTCAGAAATGCACGCAACAAACGTTATGAATCTTTGCAATTATTGGAGAATTTCCAGATATCTGAGATAACAAATGAATCCTGTAACGTCATGAAATGTAGTAATTTCAAATCAATCGTCTTTAATGTATATAGTTATTACAGTTTAGACAAGATTTAAACAGTAACAACTAACAACGTAAAGAAATGCGAAGACTAATAAGTGGGAAGATAAAGGAATAAAACTCAGTGAAGTTCATTGCCCGACCGTAGCTGATACCTTGACGTGATGGTAGGGCTTGCTTATCGTGATGACCCAACCGAGCTATATTGGCTGGAACACATGTTCCAGGATGCAGCTGGAGGATTTAGACTTCGCAGATGACCTGGCTATTCTATCACACATGCGACAACAAATGCAGGAGAAGACGACCAGTGTAGTAGCAGCCTCAGCAGAAATAGGTTTCAACACACACAAAGGGAAAAGTAAGGCTTTCCAATACAATACAGCATGAACTAATCAAGTCATACTTGAAGAAGCTTTGGAGGATGTAAAAACCTTTACATATTTGGGCAGCACCATTGATGAGCACGATGGATCAGATGCAGATGTGAAGGCGCGGATCGACAAAGCAAGAGCAGCATATTTACAATTGAAGAAAATCTGGAACTCAAAACAACGTTATGTCAAATAACACCGAAGTCAGAATTTTCAATACAAATGTCAAGACAGTTCTACTGTATGAAGCAGAAACTTGGAGAACCACGAAAGCCATCATCCAGAAGAAACAAATGCTTATTAACAGTTGTCTACGCAAAATACTTTGGATCCGTTGGTCAGACACTATCAACAACATTCAACTGTGGGAGAGAACAAACCAGATTCCAACGGAGGAAGAAATTAGGAAGAAGTGCTGGAAGTGGATAGGACACACTGAGGAAAGCACCCAACTGCATCACAAGGCAAGCCCTCACTTGGAGTCTTCAAGGCCAAGGGAGAAGAGGAAGACCAAAGAACACATTACGCCGAGATATGGAGACATACATGAGAAAAATGAACGAAAATTGGATAGAACTAGAAAGAAAGGACCAGGACAGAGTGTGTTAGAGAATGCTCCTCGGCGGCCTATGCTCCATTGGGAGTAACAGGTGTAAGTACGTAAGTAATGGCTGGTTAATCCAGATATTCATGTTCTTCTGATAGAACACTGTCTGTACATACAGTCTTATCTAAACATTGAGTAGCCTTTCTTAATGTCGATCAGGTAACTAAATGTATACCACGGAGCCACTATAGGTAATTTTCTTTGAAAATATTGCGATTTTTTATCGTACATAATGCATGCTGTTTGTTAAATTCAATATTTATTTATCGAAATTAAAAAGTTTATGTTATATAAATACACAGGCTTTGATTGTTTATTTTCATCCTGCGGTGTGCTCTGCAATCAGGACTCTAAACTGTCTTCTCTGCTGGTCTTTAAGTGCCTGGTCCATCTCATGCTTTTTGACGTACTGAAACTCTTCCTTTTGTCTGTCGACTGTGATATCTTCCATACAACGTTCCACTAAATACTACTTACAAGTAAACTCGTTAGTAGTATTTAAAACAATACTAGTGCCTTAGTGAGATTTTGATATTCAATAGAATGATGAGTAGATTTAAAATTCATCAGTTTATTTATGATTTCTAAACCGTTGTTGTTTTTTTTATCAATAAACTCATCAACAAAAAAAGAGATACGGATAACCTTAACTTCATTGTCACATATTTTGACAATGAAGTATCAGTAAAAGCTAGCTAAAAATAGATACTAGATGTGAAACACAATGAAACTTTAGTGACTGAGTATATTGTTTAATCTTGTCACAAATGTACGTAGGTTTAAGTGATTAAACTTTGAAACGAAATAAGGAGAAACAAGTATTAAACCGTTTGTTACAAACGGAAACTGAATACTTATGACTCAGTCTGTTAGGTAGCATGAATAAAAGTTTGATTTTCTCCATTTACTTTCCAGAAATCCAGTTGTTGAATGCAGGTCCGTGTATTATTATTGAATAATACTATTAAACAATACATCTTATGAGACGGTCAGAAACACGAGTGTCACACTACTAGCTGACAACTCAGTCTAACGTTTATATTTAAAAAAATTCCTACTCTTACATATTATGTATTCATTTACCTAATTTATAAAAATTGTTCCCCAGAAATATCACAAAAGAGGGTATCCGAAATAAAGTGTATAAAGGTACGTGTGTATGCATTTACTTCAACCGTAATTACTAACCTGTAAATTAGCTAATTCTTTAGCACCCGATTCAGTTTCCGATATATCACAGAAAACGAATCCACTACCTAGTGATTCAATACAGGAACCCACTTGGTGTAAATTATCACCGTTTGAAATACTGTGACATGAAATCTCTGATTTTTTCACAGGATAAGTTATAACAGAACCACCGGTAAAGGATGGTTTGAAAGACGAGCTTTTTGGACAATGGAAACAATCAACAATTGATAGTGCGCCATGAACACGACCGTCTAAACTGTTCTGAAAATATTGTGAAGACGGAGATGGATGATTGCATGCAAGGAAAAATTTCATTCGGACTTTTTTATATCGAGGAGATAAACAAAACACGAGTAAAATAACTGTGCATACAGTTGACAGTAATATCCCGCAAATGACAAATATTGTTAATGCATCTATCTGTAATCCATTGTCTGAAGGATCTTCGTACGAATCTGAACGCTGGGGGGAAACAACGCCTGAGTTTGGAAAATCCTGAGATGCTACAATTACATTCAAATCACCATCATGAACCCGTAAACCAAAGTGATCAAGACCACTTTTGTGATGATTACCTGGACCTATAAGATATAAAAGTGATGAGACGTAAAATCGAACATTTGAAGAGAATAAAAAATAAAAGTGAACGTAATCAGTTACAATACGTTTTAATATGTAGAGAACGTAACATCAAGCATATACACTTTGAGCGTGAAACTACCAAACGTATTTTATCCGTTTTAGTCAAGTAAGAAATAAAATGATATTAGAACGAATACTTTCTTGCTCAAAGATATAATTCTATCGAAAGCAAACATAAGAATGCGACTATTGTAACTGTAATAGTAGCAGTAAATATGTTACACCTACACATCTTAAATTGTTTGAATACGATTAATAACTTAAAAACTAATATGCAAAACAGAAGTTATGGTAATTAGTAATTTAAATGATCAAAAAATTGCATTATTCATATTTAATTATTTCATCATAATTGAATGAATAATATTGATGATAAATAGCGAAGTGTATAAATATATGTAACTCGTTGAGATCTTTGGATATACTTTCTAACTAGGGAAAAAAATATTCCACCACTAGTCAACAAAAACCAGATTTAAAGTTGTTAGATTGAGCTATGTTCAAATATATTCCTGTGGTATTCAAAAATTCGCTATTTAATGTGCGTAAAATGATAAGCAAATAACTTGGTTAGGTAGTCTTGAGAATTATCAGGATTTTGTCAGAAAACTAGTAGTTCATCAAACTGCTTATAGAAACATACAGTCTGTCTATTCTAGGTTGCCATGTTTTGTAAAATACAGTTTGTTTGTACTAACACGAACACCGAAAATAGCCAGCAAAACGAAGACATTATTAAAAGCATAAGAAATACTTGACAGTCAAAATTTATATTAACAATTTCGTCATGTTAACCACAGTACTTGCACTTAACAAAAGATCAAAGCATATGGGAAAAAAGGAAAAGCAGAACGTAGAATATTTCTGGATCGGTTCACCTGTCATACTTCACATCAGCAAATAAAACCTGTAGTGTCGAAGTTTGTATTATTATACAAACTTCGGTAGAGAATAGAAAAGGAAAGAAGAAAATGAAACTGAGAAACGAAAATGATAGAATACTGCTGTGCTCGACACTCGAAGCGAAATAAGAAGAGACGCTTGTCTTCCTGTAACTGATTCTGAACCCCTCAATATCAAATCAAAATGATTTAATGAACTGACAGTATCTCTTCATTCAGCTAGACTTGGTCTTCACGAGCCCACTGATTCAGGCTGTGTCCAAATTCAGTGTAGACAAATCGTATCCCAACCACATGAGTTGACTAAGGTTCATAACACCGTCAATGGACATGCAGTCTGAGTTTTGCGTTTGGACGAAGTATTCGCTCTAAAAGCATGCTCTTGACAAAGTTGTTTAAAAACGAGGAAAGTAGATAGTCTTGAAGGATGTCATCTGACAATCACTTTAGCTGACAGCTTGTTAAAGCTTTTAGTTGATATCGAGTGTTTGATTAGAGAGCATTAAATAGGATTACGTACATTTCGGTGCAACTTTTAGTGAGAGAATGAAAAGTCATTTGATCGGCAAAATATATTATAAGCGAGGAAATTTGTTTGGCAGAACATCGATATGACCTTCGGCATGTCATTTGGAACATCCACAATGGGATGTAGGTAAAAAGAATTTGTCAATTACGAAACCGTACTACAATGACATTATATGCATTACACTTCAAAGTATCAACTGTTGTGGACCTAATAGGTTTTATCAACAAAAAACGTCAGATCGAAAGCTGCAAAGATGAACTGTGCCGACTGCACAAAGCGTAAATATCGTAGCTCTATAGCTAACTTATAAAGTTCATGAGTTTTCACCTCCAGATAAATCTAACAACCAGACATACAACAATGCTATTGAAAACTGTTGTATCCCGAAGAGAATTACGAATGGTAACTTTTGAGGACTATTTATTGGTTAATATAATATGTATATTTCCTATTGTAATTAACCTAATCATCTTCGTTTCCTCTTATCACTAACTTTATTTTGACCTTTGAACTATTATTATACGATCCTTGAGTTATCATCAGTTTATTGATTACTATTCACAGCCACATTCGGCTAAATATTGTACAAATGTTATTATCTATTTTATGGGTCGATATGGTTTGTTTGGTTGGTTAGTCAGTCAGTTACAACGTAGAACTTCGTACGTACGTACATCAGTTCAAGTTGCCATACCACATTAGCACAGAGATGAAGTTGTCGATTCAAATCCCATAATGGTAGAAGTACTAAGAGTATAAGCAGTAATCCGAAAGATTAGGGTTTGAAGATGTTATTGAAGGAGTATAATACAATGAAATAAATTTAGAAAGAGAAAAAGGATACAGACATGAAGAATTCAGATTAGAATTTGGTAGAACACAAAGAGTGGATACACCTTCGCCATTGCAAACGATTTTGAGCCATGTCATTCAAGGTCTCTAACCATCGATTGCTATCATCTCGCGAATCCCAACCAGGTAGTCTACACCTACCAACATGGCCCAGTCCACTTGTCAGTGACTTCATGGATTTATGCCATGTTTTGGTCTGACCGCCCCTAGCTTTCTTCCAACCTGCTCCTGCACCATAAAGCATTGCACGTCGGGGCAGTCGGTGGTTGGGCATACGTAACACGTGTCCCAACCATCTCAACTGATGAAGTTTAACTACTTCATCAATCTATTTGCCATCCCTACCTAGTACCCGTTTCCTAACATCTATATTATATATATATATATATATATATATATATATATAAAAACTCAGTATGTTTGAAATACTATGATTCATACCACTGAGGCTGTTATTGGTGATTTGGACTTAACTGGCTGGGATAGGCAGATCGCAGGACCGGTTAGCATTCTAGTCTGCTCGTACGGTTTCGTGTCACCCTTCCAGTCGATAATTCGCTGCTCCCTGATTGGCGGTCTTATCGCGTCATACATCAACTAGGCATCCACTCGGCTACAAGATATAACAATTGGCGACGGGGATGGGATTCGAACCCACGCGGGGAAACCCCAATGGATTAGCAGTCGTCACACTTCATTTCAAAGCTGTTGTATAGATGCATGTGCATCTTAGCAATTTTATCAGCACTAACTCTTAGTAACTACCTACCTACCTTAGTACTAGTTCCTCCCAAAAGTTGATAGACGTTAGTAAAATCCAAAAAATACTGAAAACTTACCGAGATCTTCAGACATAGGGACGATTTTCAAAGTTTCATTATTGCACATATGATCATAACAACAGCAAGTTTCATGTAAATCATCTTTAGATTTATGAAGAACGTGGCATACTCCCCTAACGGTAGGACACTTGTTTTCCTAAGTAATTGAAATATGGATATTATTGAATTAAATTCAACAATTACCAATTCTGGCCATGGCCAACAGTCAAAACTATGTGGGTTGTAGGGTTCATTTGTTGATTCACGACTAAGTGTAATCAGACAATGTCGTACATCAGCAGTGCACTGTCTACTTCTGAAACCATCACTGTGTGCTTGGAAACCAGAAGAACAACTTATCCCGTCAACCTTAGCGTAATTTGTGAAATAAATCAGGTAAAACATGACAAATATGAGCATGTGATCTGGAAAATACTCGGCAATATATAAAACCAATATCTTACCCGTTAAACACGTATACAGATGATGTAGCATAGAAACCACATGCTTGTAATTCAAGCATTATTCAAAAATAGCATATGAAAACAAATATCCATACATAAAAGAATTACATGACACCTATCAAGATCAACAATAAAGTCGGTCTGCAAAATATCTGGAAAAAAGTAGTGAAATATCATATTGAGTAAAACTATATTTTAAACAATATAAAAAATGAGACATTAATTTATACACTTGCCAGATATAAGGAACCAAACAAAAACATTTTAAAACAGTGTGTATGCTCTTTGCCAATCAGTAATACGGATGAGAACAAGGTAGGTAAAAACGTAAGTACTATACGGATATTTCGATTCAGCTAGCTAGGAGTTCAGTATGTACACTTTAACACGCTACATCACACTAGTTTAATAGTAAAGGAATACAATGAAGTACGTCAAAAAAACCGAAAAATTTAAAAATTAGTGATAAAGATAAACATACTTATTACTTCAGATAAGAGGGTAAATCTGAAGGTAGTGCTAAAAAACAATTCACTAATTTCTTTAACGAAAAACGTGCAGTAATGACTCAATGGTCCAGCTTAAGGTATGAACGTGAGCACTCAAATAGTTAAATAAATACTTAATATTTGACGTGCCCACTATACGACCAAGTCACATTTATGTATGTAAAGGTATTCCTATAAACAACTACATAATTCTTCAATAAAAATAGTCTATTGGCCGAAAAAACGGTCAAAATATCAAGCTTGGTAAGTAGAAGTAATAGAATTGATGAACATGTTTCTTAAGCAGCTATGAATGAAAGAAATCCTTAATATCAAATGTAAATATCTTTTGAACACAAAGTACCTAGATAAAAGGTTAAATATAATTTTTAGAAAAATGGATTGAGTAAAGTGATAGGGTTATTAAAGTTCACCAATTTGTTAGCACTGCTTTGTTAATTAGACATCTTTAACACTAGTGTAGGAACATGATTTGGAACTAGTTAAAAAGAAAGTTATATACTTAGTTTAGACTTCCTTAAATCTTTGGAAGGATATTCTTACCTTGTTTCAATACGATTTATTCACTGACAAAAAAATATTAAGATTAATTTTTTTAAACGAGTGGGTAAATAAAATATTGGCTACAATGCTGTAGAGTGCCGTTTAGAATAGTATGAAAATTTTATCCGTATACGTGAAATGTAAACCAGTGCAACAGTACACTTATTTTAGTCGTATCCTAAATTAATATAAGTGAAGCTTATTTAAATGTCAAGACAAAACCGCAAAGTGCCTGAACGATGCGTTAAACAAAGAAGGAGTGTAAGATTTATTGAAGGTATATTCAGACTAGTTAAGTAAAAAGCATATAGAGTAAATAACGTTAAATCCGGTGGAAAAAGATTCAACAGAAATCCAGGATTGAGTTTGGGTAATAGGGGGGAAATTGTCCTCGAATTTATCGATAGCTGTCTGCAAACACTTCTGAAGAAAACTTTTCCTACACTCACGATGAAAAGACCGTAAGTGAATACAATCTACCCGCAACATAAACGATGTCTAAGTATGAATGTTAAGAAGCTATATTATCTTTTGTACCGGCTGCAAAAAGGAATCATTATTATTGTTACGCTTGCTGCATGCAAAGTCGCTAGCTCTGAATAGGCTGATCCGAGTATATGATGACTGACTACCTGTTTGAATCCTTATTTCTCGAGTTTGTTTACCAAGGAGGATCTCCTGAGACAATAAACACCGTCCTAACCAGCGATTTTCATCTTTCATACATCAGAAGACATTTGCTGACTTATAAGTACGAAAGAAAAACACCAGAAATCGAAAGCATCATGTCATAAGTAAGAGTATGAAACGTTTCGATTCTAGCAATAACACTACCAAGTCCACTTATCTTAAAAGTACATCACTGTTTATGGAGAAGGAAAATGAAGAACTGACTGTTACAAGATTTCGTCATTAACAGCTTAGTCACAATCTACGCAGGTGAAAATTAGTTTCATAAAACTCCACCAGAAGGGTGTTGATTTATTTAGCTATTACGCGGAAGTTATATGGCAAAAAATGGTAGTAGGTCAATGAAAACGTTTCACGATATGCTTCTGATTTGCAGTAAACGTAAGATGTCTACGCACAAAAGGGGGTTAATAAGATTTTCAGTTTGAATTTACTGATAGCAGATCAGATACGATACATTTGTTGCACACTTTTTCAGGCCAAAACAGCACAAACCACTAGGAAATTCTAGTTACTTTATGTATGAGGTCTGTAAACCAAATTTTGGTGTCAAAACTGTATTAAAAAGGGTTATGATAGACTTGAAAAAGGTGAACAACAATCTATAACTATCAAGTTCAATTCATGTATACATTATTTCTCTGTACTATCAACCAAAAAGTTTTAAATGCTTGATATTAATGAATGAATAGAAATAAAATCGCTAGTTTATAAAACCCATTTGAGTAGTTGACAGCGCATACTTTAGTATAAGTAAAACAAATTCAATAGCTTTATGATTTAATGGTTGTTTGGTCGTTCGGCTCTCAATGTCTAAAAACCATTGGTTAAAATCACAATGTTCACGAAAAATCCAACGTGAAACCATGAAAGTCATTCAAATCAAGCTTAAGGATTGTAAAAGTTAGAAGGATTAGAGGTGATAAGCACCCTAAACTCATTTTCTTGAGGATTACCACCCCTAAATCAACTTCGAACCGGGAATTATTTAGTTGCTGTTCCACTGTTACATACTTTCATGTGAATGTATTTTGTTTCATTTCCTATTATGTAATATTTGACACGCTAACAGAAAATACGTCATTATAGACGCACCAAGCAAGAAGCAGCTTGTGATTGCAGCCAGACACTGGGTTATTAGTGAAGAATTCTGTCTCTATCCAACGGAGCAGCTTGATATGTACCTACAAAACAGTGACCGACCAGATGATAATTGGTCAGTCCTGAAGTGTAAGGTTGTTCACGAATGCGGAGTTACAAACATGCAAACGATTATTTCCTATAGATAGTCTCAAATCTAACGATGATTTCTTGGTCTACTTCAAAAACTTTGACGTTCACCGTACGAACTAATCTGTGGACGAAAACATCTTGCACTGAACACTGAGAAGCAGAAGAGGTCAGTACAATAATCTTACTAAAATCTCGTAGAAGTGCGTTGAAGCGTGAAGAATTGTTTCTTTACAATTCGGTTGTCAGTCATTTCGCGCTACTTGGCACTTTATCAAAAGGAGCACTTCAGAAGTGCAGGTTTTATGGCTGCATACGAAGTAAGATATATATATTTCTTTTAAACCTCAGGTGCATTAACTAATCAATTCTTGTCATCATCTGTTAACAAAAAAGACCTTGTGAAACTGTATGGTATTGCAACGCTAGGTTATTTTCACGACATGAGAGACAAGGTATAAAAGTGTATTCGAAGAAAGAACATGCATGCGCGAATTTAAAGTGATTACTATTATCTACTGCTCTTATAGGTACAGTCTTTAGTGTTAACGAATATAGCCGTAAGTTCAGCTTCGAGTAGTTAATTGTACAAAAACAAGTCATTTAGATATAGTAACCTTTTTTTCTTTATTTTTTAGAATTCAGAAGATCATTTTGATTCTCAGTAGTCGAACAGGCGTTAGGAAAAGAAATAATCCGTGGAATGTTTCTCGTGTTCAATTACGTTTCAAACAAAGGTCTTTTTAAACATGTTTCTTGCCCTTTTATTTGAAAAACCCTGTTTGATTTCAAATTCACTTGCAATTAGGTGCATGTACCTTATTAATAAAACATGACCTGCTCTTTCTTTTGTAGCTGTTTTCAAATGACAGACATCTGGTAATGGCAATTAAAAAATAACGATTGATGCCCTAGCACCTACCAACTACTCGCAACGTTGTACAACAATACGCTTTTTGTTTCCAGTAAACTTTTGAACATATACCACATTTTACGTGCATTTCAGTTTTCGTATGGTTTGTTGTGGGAATGAAGACGAACACAGATGTTTGGAGTTATGCCAAAGTTGTTTTAAGAGTGGATTCAAAACCATACCAATCGGTGTGTATATATGCTTAAAGTAGGCAAACAGGTGTACATTAAGGCGAAAAATAGAAAATTCAGCGTATATTTAGGCGAGAAGTAGATAATTGAGCGACATTTGAAACGCGGAGTGACAAAAAGGAAGAAAATTCGCATTATTTCCCCCGGACAGACAAAAAAGCAGACACTTTGGTGCATTTCCCCACTATTCCCCCCCTTATTTTCCAATGCATTTCTCCTTAGTTTGCCTTTATTTCCCCTTTATCAATTGTTTGTGTATTTGAAACCCCGTTCAGTGTTCTGGTTGGCATATTTCTGTATAACGAAATCTTATTCCGAGAGCATCAAAAAGTCTTTCAGAGAGATGAAGCAACGATGCTCCTTTGATCAGCAGCAGGAAAGCTTACCAAAACACAAAACTCACCAAAGAATTAAAACATACAAATAATCCGCGATATCTTTGCCCCGAGTTCAGCGCGCTATCGAAACAAACGTACATTTAACAATATACACTTTTAGAATCAGTGAACAAAATGTTATTAGTACTCTGTGCCTAAACTAGTAAATACAAATTTTGTAAATTTCGAGATTTACTTTTATGCCTTTATCCTGCAGCGACTTGTAGTTACATAACAGTGGCTTGTAAGAATGTCTAGAAGGGAAATGACGTAATATAAAAGCTTGCTAACTAAATTAAAAGTCTTATATCTACCAAAACTTTCTGTTCAATATCCTTCAGTTTCATTTGCACATGAGACCGAAACAGCGATAGGAATTTTTGTGCGCCACACGACTCTAGAATTTTCAATCACGATCATGTCAAATGAGAAAAATGAGCGTCGCTCTAAGACAATACCGACATAGCTAGAAGTGATCATATAAAACTGCTAATGCGCACTCAAAGGTTTTTCAAAAACAAGAAGGAAGTTTTATTCAGAATGGATACTGAAATAAAGCAGTAATAGGTTACAATGGCATAGAAATACCCAAAGCAAATAGTCTTGCGAGTTTTCCACAATGATGTTAACCCCGTGAATTTAACCGGACACCGCAGCTGGAAGAGCTCTGTCACTTATCCGCAACAGATCATCACTGATTACGCTGTATCACTCACCCCTCATAATAACTAGTCAGCTTAACTCATCGATTTCTTGATATATCGACTATGTTCTAAACAAATCTTCAAACTTATAGATATTGTAGCGGTAAATAAACCCCCAAAATCAATAGCTCTGTAAGTGTTCGACATTGGGTGCTGACCACATTAGTTTTAACGGACTCGCCTAGCTGAAGGCGCTCGGTCAAGCATCCGCATCCACTATAAATATGTAAATTCTGCAGACTTAGGACATCTTATATTCGAAAGAAGAATCCTTCCTTTTAATAGCTTTGATGGAGCCTCGTTCGTTACAGAATGTTTGATACTTCTTTGATGAAATGGGAATGTATCCACTCCCCTCTACAGTCCATCTAATAATAAAGCAGCAGTGGAATTAATAGCGGTTTTCAATGTCCTGACTACATTGTATTTTTGACCATTAATAAGTGAGTGCCTGCGGGCATCGTACAGACGCTGCATCCGTTATCATCCAACAGATATTGACTGTGTCGGCATAAGTGTGAGAGATATTACTAGTCGCTAAAACCAAAGGAACATTTTCCTGACTGAAAACTCTTCTTAATGCTTGAATTGTGAAGTCAAGATTGAATGAGGTTGTGAGAATAATTTCAGGCCACACACAAAAAGCCAAATGACTACAAGTGCGTAGCATTTGCTGATACATGGATCACATTAGTCTACTTGAATTCCCGGCCAGGCCTCAGACGATAATGACTTTTTGGCTTGTAACACCCTCCATAATTGTTTACTGCACAAAATGTATATACATTTATCTTTAGCATTACCACGTGAGCCTAGCCAAGGAGTTCATTTTCCCAGCTCCCGAAAGTCCGCTACAAAGATCTTCAAGGCACGTATATGTAATGAAGGAAGAATAAGAAGACGATCATTTAAACATAAAATACCATCACGAGTAATGGATAACTCATCCTGCCTGAAAAATTGACAGGAAGTCTACCTTTCAGATTCGCATTCCAACCTTTTCGTATGGCACTAAGTACACATTCAAAATGTTGACGACTTCGTCTGATGAGGTTTGAACGTCTCACCAACAAACGTTGCGAACTAGATGCACAAAATGAACATTTATTTGGATCAATCACGATGGTCAGTTCTATATTTAAGGGTGGTCAGAGACGGATCGTAACTAACTACCGGCTTGTCAGCCTAACCTGTATAGTCGTAAATTCACTTGAAAAGATAATTCGAATTAGGTTACTAAGTCACATAGATTCGTACAATCTGTTAACCCCCAAGTAACAAGCAGTCACGCTTAACTAACTTATCGCGAGAGATGATTAGACAGAGATGTTATATTCATAGATCTTAACAAAACGTTTGACAATGTCTCACGCTTGGGTCTTCTGCAGAAGCTCTCAAGCTGTGGAATAAAAGGTGCCATACAGGAATGGATAGGAAACTTCTTATGTGACCGCAGACTAAGAGTGAGGGTCGATGGAACGCTATCTGAACGGAAGCCGGTCAAAAGTGGTGTACCCCAAGGTACCATCTTAGACCCTTTACTTTTTCTTCACCATGTTAATGTATTACCGCTATTGCTTAAGTCGTCGACATTATTGTTTGCGGATGATGTTAACATCTGGAGGACAATAAGAAGTGAGACTGATAGTTGTCATCTGCAAGCTGATTTAGACGAATTAGTTAGATGGGCTCATGATTGAGGCTAGGAAGTTAATTCCAGGAAGAGCGTGCTCATGCACATCGGGCACGGTAATAGTTACTATTATAAAATTGATGGTACATCTCATCCACGCGTTCAAGAGCATAAAGACTTAGGATTAACTATAAGTCACGACATGAAGACTACTACGCACTGCAACGTGGCTGCTTCCATATGTTGTCGTGCGTTATGGTCGCTTTGCTGAGCATTCAAATGCTTTGACGAGATGTTTCGAATTTTAAATCCCATCTAAGTAAGACCAGACGTAAAGCACTGTATTCAAGCAGCTAGCCTATGTCTGATTAGGGATACTAACTCACTTGAGAGTGTCCTGCCTATCGGGACGAAGTTAGTGAAGTGTCTTTCTAAACTCCCTTACGATGAGCGCTCGAAATGTCTAAACTCTTTCCCAACGTCTTATCTTAGGACACGAGGTGACCTTATACTGGAATTTTGTATCTTCAATTATGATTTAGGCGTTAATATGTCTTATCTTTTCGCTCCTCTCAGCACTGATAATCTCCGACATCATAGCAAGAAGGTTCACAAACAGCGATCTAATAAACTTAAAGTGGGGTCCCATTTTTCTCATCGAGTGGTCAATGACTGGAACGCCGTACCCAAGCAAATGGTATCAACCTCATCAGTGAACATTTTCAAGGGGAAGCTGAAACTTCACTGGAAGGCAATCTGTCAGTTTTAACACAGGTTCACCAATTTACTATCTTTATTACTGAGGACTGAAAACTGACTGAATATTCTTCTCAATTAAACGACGCGATAAAGCAATAAGTCTATGGTCAACAATGATGAACGTGAGAGGAAGTTATCAAAATGGCATAGTTTGGTCATGCAGGCACGATCATTCTATATGACCTTACCTATTGTACCAAATATATTGCTCTCTTCCCAGTTCAAATGTGTTATTTAGAAGTGCTAGACATCATATTTCTGATCTCACGATAGGACGAGTCAGTGTGGACAATGATGTGACTCCAACGTAAGATCTTATAGATTAGGTAGTCATTTCGTGATAAACCTACGATCTCAGAATAAGGTATATTATTATAATAGCACGCGTACCGAGGTAGAACATCATTCAAAAGGATTACTCCATGTTGGAAACCGGACCGGCTGAATTATGCTTTTTACACACAAACCTTTCAATGTCCTGTACTTTGCTTCCAGAAAACATAACGAATTATTCATTTTAGAAGGACTGGAAAACCCTGTAGCTGAAGTTTTGTAGGTTGAATACTTATCCCTCCTATTCACTTAGTAGACACAGCTACCAAATATTTAAGTGAAGCTTCAAAATCGCCTTTAGAAATTAATAAAGACGACTGAAGTTCAAGCCTTTTCAAATGTTTAAAACTTAGTATTGACGGTTCTATTTCACCCACTAAAAACTAACGAGGGACGTATAAAAAACTATCATCTCTTATCAACAATCCATAGTATCTTCATATAGGCGGCTTGCGCCCAGCAACTCTCAATTCTGAGACTTCGGTGGGTCGTTAGAATAAGCAGATTTCAAGTTCTTGAATGAAACGTTGTACTCTATACTACCTGTGTCAGCAATAAAGTCATGGAGTGAACCAACGAGTGCATATAACAGCTCTCGATTATGGACACCACCTTTCGAAATCGTGGATAAAGATAAGTGATTGTAGTGGATGTCGAGTTGAAGACGGACTACGATCACCACTACAATTCGTTTACGCACCCAAAAACGACTTGGTTCCTTTAATAGCTCGTAAATCAGAAAGCTTTATTAATCCAGATCAAGTATATTTATTGGCGATCTCGTGGTATCGAAATAATACCGAGACGTGTCAAAGAGTACAGGCAAAATGAGCAGTGCGTGAGCAAGTTCGAACCAAACAAGGCGGAGAGCGAAAGCAGAAGTGAAACTGATACAGTTAAACAAATACAGTAAAACAATCTCTGGTACAATTGGTTATGATAATAATAATTGTTTCCGTTATTCCAATTGTGTTCTTATCGAGACTGGCCGGTCACTACAGGAACCCCCCTCTAGAAAGGGTTTACACTTTTGATACGTAGCGGTTTCGTTCGTGGGACTGATCGCGAAACGTGCAATTGTAGGACGAAGGCGTTGGCAGAACAGGGAGTGATCGTTGATCCTCGAGTTGCCACCAAAAGTTTTTGATGTAGAACGGTACCAGAAGGAAACGTACTGTATTGATTGTTTGGATTAGCATGCTACTCCGGAATGGTTTGTATCCAGAATCTGAAGATTGCGTTTGTAGAGGTCCGGACCAGAAACGCTGCAGACGTAGGACGAAACCAGATTGAGCCAAGGAACCAGATGCGACCAGGATAACCATGTTCGGGACCAAATGTATACCATACGTATTTGGAGCGTTGACTAGAGCGTGGGTGATTAGGCCAGCTTTCGCCAAAGTTGACTGAAGCCGACGATACCGGAACAGCGATGGTCGGAGGCGTAGGCTCGGGGAAAACAAAAAAAAGAGAGACAAAGAGAAGAGTGTAGCATTCGTGTAGTATAGGGTTAAGGTCCTATACTGTATCCGCTGCTGGTTATGAGGTTAGTCGCGAAAGCGTACGGGTAAGCGTACTCGGCGACCGGAACGTGAGACGGTTGTCTCGTTCGAACCTCATGAGCCTGCAATCTCATCCGCAGTCAAGGGCTGTGTGGTCTGCTGGTCTGGACGTGAGACGCAAGTCTCGTCCGTAGACGAGGCAGATGACACGTGCTGTTGACTGGGACGTGAGACGCAAGTCTCGTCCGTAGACGAGGCAGATGACACGTGCTGTTGACTGGGACGTGAGAATGAGGTCTC